CTGGCTGCCAGCCACGCCGCCAATGCCTCGAGATCCTTCCGGCATTACAGCCCACACCGCCCGCCGCTCACGGCACCGAACCCACCGTGGTGAAGGAAGGAAACCCCTTCCCGCTGAGACGCCAGCGACAAAACACGGTGGGCTGAGAAACGAGGGCTTTCGGAGGCAGCGAGGAGGCTCGACGGTGCTCTGCCCCTCTGGGTGGGGCTGCAGGTGCCCCCGCTTCACTGCGCTCGCCGGGCGCCTGCCCTGACACCCCGACCCCCCCGAGGATGACGAAGCCCTTGGTGTCGCCATGTCCCAGAGCAGCTGGGGGGCAGAGGGCTGGCACTGCACGCTGAGCTGCAGGGGTGTCCGGAGGAGGGGGATGGAGCCAGCCCAGCTGGAGCAGGACCAGGGCACCCCGAGGCAGCTTCTCCCTGTCCCGCCGCAGCAAGGTGCCACGCAGCCACACTTACCATGATCACGGCCACCACGATGGCAGCGATACCGATCAGGTACAGCTTCCCGGAGAACAGCTCGTCGATTTTTTGGTGGCAGCTCGAGGACTGAAGCAGAGAAGCACACCGGTCAGAGCACCTGCCTTCTCCTCCCCTGCCCCTGACACCCAGAAAGTCAGGTCTGCATCCGCCCCGTCCACCCCATGTTCCTGGGTCCTGGCTCTAGGGCTTCCCACCAGACTTCGCTCTTCCTCGCCTGCCAGCCCTGTCAGGCAGCAACAGCGAAGGAAGAACCGATGGGAACCTCCAACATCCTTCTACACCATCCCCAGCTAAATGAAATGGCCTCAAGCTGCACCAGGGGAGGTTCAGGCTGGATATGAGGAAGAATTTCTTTACTGCAAGGGAAGTCAGGCACTGGAACAGGCTGGGCCCGGGGGGGGGGGGGACGACGTTTTAAGAGACGGGCAGATGTTGTATTTAGGGACATGTTTTAGTGGCGTTGACAGAGCTAGGATAAAGGTTGGACTCGATGATCTTGGAGGTCTCTTCCAACCGGAACTGTTCTATAATTTTACCTTTTATCTAATTCCCAACAAATCCCCAAATTTCCCTGGCAGCTGAGTCTCCTCGCAGGAGCTAGGAGCCTAGCAGCTGTGCCTACCTCAATAATGCTTTTCAGGATGGAGTCCTTCTTTGGGCAGAGGTCTTCTCTCCACAGGGGAGTGACAGCTCCTACTACACTATCAGGACCACAGCAGTCCAGCTACATGGAGAGAGGAAAAAACCCCACAAAACCCCAGCATTAGCAGACAGCAAACACTCAATGCAATGCTACAGCAATGCTCTCCCCACCATTAAACATCCTTGAAGCCACCCAAGACTGAGGAAGCGTCTTGGAGGGGGAAAAACTGTCCAAATTAATTTTTTTTTTCTTTCCATGCAATGCAACTGATGCCTACAACAGACAGGTCTGGCACTGGTATCCTGGAGGAGGGCAAACCCAAGTCCCTCCAGGGATTCTGTTTCTTGCTGAGCAGAGGAATTACCGGGATCAGTTCCTCAGAGCAACGTTTTTTTTTTCCACTGAATTTTACTTAAATCAGGGGGTCCTGAAGTAAATGAAAAGCAACTCAATTAGAGCTTGGGCCAGACTTCCCAGCACAGTGCAAAGGACAGAATATTAAAGAGGGCACAACTCTGTTTCTTGACATGTAAGAACAGCAAACTCGACAAGCTAAGACCTGTCTGTAGCATCATCTGCTTTAGACCTTGCCTTTCCCATTCATTTCCCTGACCCCCCTTTTTAATTCTCCTTCCTCCCAATATTCTCATTTCCTCTGGCTACCAGAAACTCCTACGGAGAGATTTCCACAGAGAGCTTGGAAAGCAGGCAGCAAGACGGCTGACATCTTACCGTTTCATGAAAGGTCTTCACTACAGCTTTCCCGTTGTTCTTGTCCGACTCTGCCATGAGCGCCTGCTGAAACGCCTGATCGTAGAACTGCTTCACGTCTTTGGCTATCTAGGAAGGACAGGGGAAAAACTCCCTTTCAGCCAGAGGAGGAAACCCATCCAGCAGGCGTGCCTGAAGAGGACAGGTTCCCTCTAATGGCACTCGCAGGTAGATGAGCAGTTTTGAAGTAGATCTGGACCCATTTATGTGCACAGGGGTGTGAACAAGGCCTGTCCTTCCTAGGGCTCCAGTCCCTCCAGCCGCAGCACGTTAAGAGCAGCAAACATTAAGAACCTTGTCCCCCTGCAGCAGGTTCTGGCCAACGCTACCCAAGAGCTCTGCGAGCTCTCTCCAGCAGGCGAAGGCAGCCAAGGGCTGGAGGGCGAACCACAAGACCCGAGGTAGCCTTCAGCCCGCGTGAATTTGCTGTTGGGCTCAGGAAAACGGCTTGTTGCGAGCCACCCGGCGCGTGGAGACCAAGCAGGCAACATGCTCCCCAGCGAGGCTGCAGAGGCAGGACACGCCGTGAAGTCAGGGGGAGGTGGGGTGCGCCAGCAAGGCTGTCGGTAGGTACGGGCACCTCAGCTTAGTGTCCGGCTTGGAGGGGGTGGCAGGAATTTGGGAGATATTACAAGATTGCACACTAAAGCCTAGCGAGGCAGCTCATTTGGGTCATTTAGGTGCTTTTAGGTGGATGTTGAGCTCTGGCTGGGTCCCCACCTGGAGCTGGGCACCCCCATCCTTAAATGGTTACAGGAGAAGTCTCATCCGTGCTCTAGCCCTGCCACCTGGGCTGGTAAACTGCAGCTGCCCATGGGGGTCTGCTCCACAATGCAAAAAATCTCTCATTTTCAGGCAAACTGGCCTTGCGGCTTCTCTTCTATCACCCTCCAATAATTTGGGAGAAACAGATGAAAGGAGGACAGACATGCAAGAGAAGCAAAAGTCAAAAATATGAGCAAGTGCGAAATGGAAAACGCTTTCCAGAACATCTGCTCCTGGCAGCACAGGCTGGATTAGCACCCGAAAAAAGAAACTGCAGCAAGAAGGAGCACAATTTCAATCAATTATCCCAGCATTTCTCCATCGCTGCTCAAAAAAGTTTGCTTTGGAGGGCGATGTTCTCTGGTCAAACCATTTGATTTGGGTACACGGAAAAAAAATAATGTAACAATCCTACTTCTTGCCTCCCCATCCTGTATCCAAAGCATCTCCCAGAAGGCAGGCTGCGGGAGGGACTGCCTCCAGCTTCGCCGGGGAGTATCCTGTGCCCACGTGATGGGAGATGACTGTCCCCCACAACGGGCTGCAAACCCAGGGGGAACAGAGTCAGCTGGGAGCAGCTCTCCGTGCCTGGGATCATTCAGCGCTCCCCTCCCAGCCCGGGTTGCTCCCGAGACGCCCCAACCGAGGCGGGGAGAGGCAAGCTGCCTGCCTCGGGAGTGGGGACTGCCCAACAGCCCGTTCGTCGTCCATGCTGCAAAAGCAGCTGAGGCCAACAGACTGCCTCCGTCCATTTTAAACTGCCGAATTAATTTTAGGGGCTGAGGCCATCGCTCTTGTATTGGCAAATCCTAAGTTTCTCAGCTTTATGCTCTGATGGCCGAGCACCTTCTCTGCAGCATGCAAAGCAGCAGCCATGAGGTCCCTCCTTACTCAGGCTTCATGTTTTTTTGCTGTTGGTCAGTCTTGGACTCTTCAGGATTCACAAACTAACATCTGCAGGAGGCACAGCCCCTCTGCAAAGGTTAATCAGCTCACCAAAGTTGCTAGGAGACAGCACCCAGCCTGCGTAATAACACGTTTGGCCACCAAAGAGTTTATTCTGGGTAAAGTCACGCTCTCTCCAGTGAATGACTACAAGGGTGTTCCCCTTTATGGCCGAGCTGGTCATCTGTGGCCTATGTGCATGTGAAAGCTGAGCAGCCACCTACTTACACAGATGGCTTACATCTCTTAGTAAAGCAAACACATTTCCTACCCTGCCACAAAGCCTAACCTTGGCTTTCAGCACAAGCAGTCCCCTGCTCTCCTCCAAACCCTCAGTGGCTGAGCAATCAACACCCAGCCAGCAGCATGGCCACCGTTCCCATACACTGATAGCTTTGCTTTTCGAGACCAAACTCCGCCTGTGTGCGAGCACACGTGACCGCAGCGAAGGGAAGGTGAGCAGAGAGGGAAGGTGAAAAGCTACGATTTTCAGTGCCACCCTTCAGCCAACCCCCTCCAGCCAGAGGACCTCACCCGAGCAGTCCCTAGCAGGTGACTTCTGCCCCTGACGTGCGCACAGTATATCGATCAGCAGCCAGCTCAGTCCTGGCAGACAAACAGCCCAAAGCGGGTTAGATGATCCTGGCAAAGAGCAGGAAGCCTCCAGGAATCCCGTCAACGCAGACCGTAGGGTATTCCCTCCCTTCGGGGCCACGCGGCTGGGTTTGCTCTTTTGCTCTTTAGCACCCAGGATGTGCTTTCCTTCACGGCCTCATACATGAATCAACTCACGCTGTGACTGACAGTGTGGCAGCAAGGAGACCCAAGTGAGACCGGGCTATTTTTATTCCAGACATCGCACCATATACCGTAAAGGGCAGGTGTTACCATCAAGTGCTCACATTTCAAGTCCATCAGCCCAGCCAAGAGGAGTTGGGTGACCTGCCCGGGTCACACAGCTAATCCAAGCCCCCATGACTCAGTCCGGGAGCAGCTCACAAGCAGAGCAGCTCGTGCCAGGATCTGCTGCGGTTCTGCCCCAGCCTCCCAGTCCCACCAATGCAGGTTTTGGAGTTGCCTTACTTGGTCTTTGTTGACAAATCCCCAGATTCCAGCTGCAACTTCGCAGGCAAACAGGATCACCAGGCAAGTGAAGAACTGCAAAGACAAACCAAGAGAGGGACGCTGAGCATACCTGGCCACAGGCAAAAGCAGCAATTAGGTGGGTAGAGGTGTGGAGCGGCACATCTACTGGGGGAGGAGATCCCAGCAAGGCATCGCCTGACTTCAAACCATTTTCCCTCTCACGCACGTGCTTAGGCCAAACCCATTTTCCTATAACCCATCGGCTGCCACCCCACATCCAGACTTCCCACGGGGATGGCTGAACGGGGCTCAGCAGAGCTCTTCCCACACAGGGACGGGCAGGGATGAGGCTGCCCTGTGCACCACAAGAGACGTGGCTCCTCTTCACGCACCTGCAGGACCATCCAGACAAGCTTCTTGCTCTGCCACAGATGCTCCGAGGATGGGAACTGCCAGTGCAGGGTTAAAAGCACATTTCAGCTGCTGAGGAGCTGCGGGGCGCCAGGGTGTGATTTATGGCCAGCTCTCTTGGCATCCACAGCCCTGCAAGGCTACTGCAGTTTTTTGCATAAATACGAACACTGATGTTTTCCCACTGTCCCACCCTGTTTGTGCAATTCCAGCACTCCTTCCTGCCATCCCTCCAAAGCTTCCCTCCATTCTTTTGTTCAGATCCCGGGATCACGCTGTGACAGTCGGTCTAACTGGGAATGGGAAGCTGTAAAGCTCATACATCAGAGTCAAGCGAGACGGCACGGACAGGGACGCTCCACACAGAGCCAACATCACCGCCACGACAACATCCCCCTCAGTGACTGCTTCCTGAGAAAAGCCCCAAACTGGGAGAGTTGCCATGGAAGTAAAGAAGCAGAAGAGGTGAATGCAGTCAGGGGAGGACAAAAATCACAGTATGGGGTGGGACAACAGCCCCTGGCTCCTGGGCAGTTTCTGTTCCAGACACATTCAGGACATTTTCTTCAGCAACAGAGGAAAGAGGAGTTTCCAGAATGATCCTATGACCTGGCTCTCACGTGCAAGAGCAGAGGGTTATCAGCAAAATGGAAACAGGACTATTGACCCGGCAGCAGGGAAGGACTTTCAACGTCCTTGTCCAAGCCCCGAACAACCAACTCCTGTTTAAACACCTATCTGCCCCTGGTTCTCCAGGAACACCTCTGGGGGACCGGGTCCCACACCCCCCCCGAAAGGAATCACAGCACCCTAAATCAGGGGCACGTTGCCACTGTAATTCCCTGGTTTAGCACTAGGGCTCACTCTTGCCGTGGTTACCCTCCAGCGAAGGGTGGCTCGTTTAGCCCCGATTTGGAGGTACAACGTCCTGCAGGCTCAGTCCTGCCAGCTGGCTGCACAACACCAAGAGGTGCAGCTTGCCACTAGGGGACACAGCGGTGTCCCCGGCCAGGCGGTCCTACGTTCCCCAGACCCTTCCCGAGGCGCAGAGCCCACTCCATGCCTAGCACCTCCCTCAGGTCTTGCCGCTCAGCTTCCACGCTGCCTTCGGCATGGGATTTTGATAGTGGGGAGCCTCCTGGTACCTTCTGCTTTTGCAATAAGCTGATAGTCACTCCATCGGCTAGCTGCAGGAGAGGAGAGAGCGGCTGCTTCTCGGCAACGCCCTGAGGACCTGCCTGGAGATGTCCTTGGAGCACGGTAGGAGCCTTGGCCAGTGGAAAGCGTCATCGTGAGGTGTCTCCAGCCTTCTCTTGGCAAGCCAAGGTGTGAGCAAACACGGGCAGTGCGCAGCAGCTAGAGCTGCTAATTTCAGCCAAAGCAGACGGTTTCCCTGTCAGACCTCAGGTACGTTGTACCATCTGCCCTTCTAATCCTCTTTCCAACTTCAAGAGGCAGCGAGGGGTAATTCAGGTGCTGTAATCGCTTGCGTTAACAAAAAAAAGTAATCCAAAGCTGCCAGACCTCGCTACAACCACCCTTGTCAGATTTGTGCGCGGGCTCCTCCCGCTCTCGGCAGCAGTGGTAATGCCTGCAAACTCCTGCAGCAGCTCTCAGCCACCGATGGTCAGAAGTGTTTTATAAGAGCTGGTGAGAAACACCCCTTTCTTGGTGGGAAACAGAAGCAACTAGAGGCAAAGCCATCTGTGAGAGCGAGGGAAAGCAGCTCCATTTCCCTCTGTGCCAGCTGAAGCCGCGCCCATGGGTCACTATACCACCACCAAGAATCTTCCAGCCCCAAGTGCTGCAAAGTCCTTCCCATTTTTTTAAGACTTTTTTTTCTTTCTTTCTTTTTTCTTTTCTTTATTTTTAGTGTTCACCCAATTATTTTTCTTTGCATCCAGTTTAAAGCTGAACCACATGTGAGAACTTGCTTTAAATAAATGGGTCTCCCTTACCCAAGAGGCTTTTGGTGTGGCTACAGTTTATACAACTAAGCTCATCCCATGCCAGGAATCCTGAGCTGCTGTCTCACCTCAAGGACGCCTGTAGCACTTCAGTAATAGATTTTCCAGGATGTACCTAGACATCCTCACTAAGATATTGTGGGAAATCTTTGCTGTTTTCTCGTCCAAACAGATAAAAATGGCAGATGATTCCTTAAAAGACCTGGAATCGCCACAGGCTGCCATGAAACAGAGTGGAAGGGGAAACTGTAGGGGACATCAGGTAAGAAAGAGGGTTTAGCGGGTGCTTGGTAAGACAGACAGACTGCGTGAGGGGGTTTCGCATTTAACAGAGAAAATGAATCTTCAAGAATCCTGCTCTTTGCACCTCTTCTGCTCTGCTGCTGGCTTCAGCCTCTGTCCTGCAGCCAGGCACGAGCAGGAGCTCGCAGGCGGGGCAGAGAGGCCTGGCTCCTGGCAGAGGTCAGGCAGTTCCCACCGACGAGCTCACACACCCTCCCAGCCCCAGCTGTCGGAAAAGGCTCCAGCAAGGGAGGCACGTCCCGCCGGGAGGGACACCGCGGTGCTGAGCGGCATCCCAAGCTTTGCACCTCTTACCGTTCCCAGAAGGCACTGAGACTCCTGAATAGCGCCGTAGCATCCCAGGAACCCCACGAACATCATGACAGCTCCGACCGCGATCAGGATGTAGATGCCTGCAAGGGAGAGTGAGAGGGACGCGTTACCGCCGAGCTTTGTACGGCAGCACCCCAACGCCGGCTGGACGTGCCGGGGCCCTGCGGCAGCGGTAAGGCCTAGGAGGTGGGAGCAGAGGTGGCAGCAGACATGGCAGAACACCACAACATACATGAGTCAGATCTCAAAGTGCGTGAAGCTGCTAACACCGAAACTTTAAAAACCCCATCGCCCTCAGAATCAGAGGGCACACAGAGAGCTCGAGCAGTAACAGGCAGAGGATGCAGCAGGCAAGGCAAAGGCTTCACAGCTGTCGTACGGCAGTTCCTGTGGCATATGTACTGTTTTAAATATTTAAGCACAGGAGACAGAAATGATTAGTTAGCATATCTTTTAAAATAAACAGTAATGCCTGTGGTTTATTTATATTAAACGTCATACAAATATTTACCCGGCTAACATTTTAAATACAGACAAGCCACAAAACTAAGGGAAAGGCACTGCTTAAGCATCTCATTTAATATAATCTGGCTTTTGTTTGTTATAGGTTCTTCTACAGAGGAAGACATTTTTTACTTCAACTTATTAAATCTGCAGTCCCCTTACTCCATAACTCATTCAAAGCTTGGAAACTAGGCATTAGAGGGGCTCACGAAAGAGAGGAATGAAAGTTTATTCATCCAGGAAACGAGAGCTTAGCTCAAGGCTTGGGTCTGTTGCTGCTAGTAATCACCGTCGTCTCACCAACCATGAGATGGGTGAGATTATGGCAATGGCTTGGCCTAATACTACAGCTCAGTTGAATTAATTTCCTTTTCCAAAAACACAGCTTTCTCCCGGTGTATCCCATATATTTAGCACATTTTTGGTTAACTAATATTCTCAAGTATTGTGGCTCTACTACTTTACAAGTGGATCTTACCTTCCATTCAAAAGCAATTTGATACATGCAAAAAAACAACCAAAGAAATAATTACAAATGAGGCAAGACTGCAGTCACCATTTTTAACTGTCAGCCAGGAAGAAAAAAAACAGGATAAGAATAAACGTACATGGGGCATCCCAGAAACAGGAACGCAGCGAATCTTGCTAGTGCTTGGGAGACATAGCCCTTCAATGAAATGTTTTCTTTTGCTCTGAGTCAAAATGTTTTTATAGTTATTAATCAGTCCCTCAACTCCCCTTTAGGAACAGCACTAAAGCATAAACAGAGTTCAAGATTAAAACTGCATGTACATGCCCATCGCATTTTAGGTTTTTCTTATTTTTGGCGCTTTTAAACAATCTTCTGGTAACTAAAGTGTCAAGTCTAAAGGGCATGCACTGAGAGTGAGCTACGCCAAGTCAAATCCTTCTCTAAAAAAACAGATGAGCAATAACGGTCTCGGCTTGTTTAAAATCCCCTCATGGACACATCAAACTTGGGAAAGA